TACCACGTTAGGCCAGCATGCGGTCCTGTCCTTCCAGCTTCGGGTCTGCAGTCACCAAATCCCTTCCACGCAGAGCCTTATTGGCAGTATAAGCTGTATATTTCCCATTCACAGCCAGACAGCTATTAGACATTGCCACTTGCTTCTGTGCATGGGAATAAGCTTTTCTTAAAAAAACAGCGTAACAAAGATTGCTAGTGAAGAATGGGAACAGAGATCGGAAAGAGAAGGAGTGTATCATGTGTTTCACCAACCTCACAATCTTTCAGGTCTTTGGTTTCCTGCCATATTTCTTCGGTTTGTAGCTATATTTTTGTCTCTCTTTGGGGTAGGAGCCCTCATTCTCTAACTACAGGAATCATATGGAGATGGGCACAGGCTGCCTTCTCTGTTTCTCTGTGTCCACTCTACATGGTCCCTGTGAGATTTGCAAACACCCATTACGAGTTGCTGGGGAAAATCTATTTAAATAAAACATTTTTTTTTCTCTTAGTAAATTTTACAATGAATCTATACAGATTGCTCCAGGAACTTTTTAAAAGGTTGCAGTGAGCTATGATAATGCCATTGCACTTTAGCCTGTGCGACAGAGTGAAACTCTGTCTCAAAAAAAAAAAAAAAAAAAGGAAAAGAAAAAAGAAAGAAAAGAAAATTACTACCATTGATTTTTTTTTTTTTCCTAACGAATCTGAAGCCCACCTTCTGTGAACTCCCAGGACAAGGTGTGGCCACTGCTTTACTCAGTGCCAAAAGAAATCCTGAACTGTCTTTAGAGGCACTTGAGTATTTACATTTCATTTTCAGCTTGTCATGAAATTGGTAAGAAGTTGTTTAGTGTAGAGGAGGAGATACTCTTCCATTGGTACAATAGCAGATGCCAAATTAGACTGTCAGAATGCATGGAACATAGGTTTCTCATCACCACGTTAGCTCACCAGCATCACCGTGAGGAATAACAAACCATACATTTAAACTGCACACGGAGCACTCCCTGTACCAATGCGGAATGCTATTTATGAGCTACTTTTCTATTTTCTTCTAAATTTTCCTTGTTTTCATTTGTAAACCTTAACATCATGTTAACATAATTTGAGGGACAGTGACTTTGCAATATTCCAAGGTTTAAGGAGTCTCAGAGTTTCTAATTGTAGCATTGTTCCTAAATAAGGTGATATAGAGAAAAAATTATATACATATGTATGTGTAATATACATAATAATATATGCAATATATTAATATTATATATAATATATAGATACATATGTATTCCTAAAAATGGTCACCAAGTGAGTACGTATCCAGTGCCACTTCCTTCAGCTGTATTCACACATTCATACGTTCAACAAAAATGTACTGAGCATCTGTTGTGTTCCAGAGGTCGAATAGTACCAGGTACAGGCAGTGAACTAAAATGTCACCATGCCAGATGTACTAGGAAAGACTGCTTCTGAGTTAATAAACACAAATACATGCATAAATAAAAATTGTGATAAGTGAAGAAGAGCTCTGAAACAGAATTTGAGGTATAACATTTCAAAACCACTAGAAACATACCTATGAGAATCCAGGAATATTCTAACACACATAATGTTATTTTTCATATCTTTTATTTCCTTTTTTAAGTGTCTTTAGATTTAGCAAATGATTCTTTTCCAATAAAATCAAACCCCACAGGTCCTGCTGAAATATCTCAAGTTTAACCACTTGTATAGGCCAAATGTGCCAAATTACAGCAAATTTTTCTTCCTCATTTCATGATACAAATAATTAATTGGGCCAGGCATGGTGGCTCAAGCCTATATTCCCAGCAATCTGGGAGGCCAAGGTGGGAGTTCAATACCAACCTAAGCGACAAAGCAAGACTCCGTCTCTACAAAAAATTTAAAAATTAGGTGCAGTGGTGTGTGCCTGTAGTCCAGCCGCACAGGAGGCTGAGGTAGGAGGATCACTTGAGTCCATGAGTTCAGAGTTATAGTGAGCTATGACCATGCCACTGCATTCCAGCCTGGGCGACAGAGTTAATAATTAATTGGTTTGAATCGCAGCTTTCTAGAAATGTCTGCACTGTAATCAAAATTTTCTTTGTTTTCACTAAGAAAAAATTATATAATTGGCTATGGGTGCTGTAAGGTCACAGTGTTATTACAGAAGTTGCAACTGTTCCAACTAACCACTGTTCGGTGATTATAAACTGAATATTCTTTTTTCACACCTGTATTGGGTCCAGAAGGTTCTCAGATACAATCAGAATTGTCATAGGACCAAAGTGTCCTTTGAAAATAATTCCAAAATAATCACCGTTTTGCTAGATACACAAAAACGAAAGCATACCAGTCTGAAACAGACCTGAAGCTTGTCACCCTCGATGGAACATAAAGAATGGACACTCAGAGCCGGGCTGGAGGCAGATCTAGATGCAGAGGTGATCGAGGAACAAGTCCTCAGAGTCTGACTTGAACAACGCGGTGGATGGAGGTACTGTTATTAGCGGGGGTGAGCAGATTTGAGTTCAGTCTCTTTGAGGAGTTGCCAAAGGGTCTGGCACCACAAATGACCCAGTGCCAAGGAGACCGCTGGGTACGTGAGTCTGGACTCTGGCAATATGAAGTGAAAGTTGTTAGCCATTGAGCGCGGCAGGAATGGCTGGGGGTGCTGACCCGAGGGGAGGGCAGGGTCAGGGAAGGGAGAGCCGCCGGGGGTGAGGGTGGCCTTCTCTTCCGCACTCCTCCTGGAACTCAGCCCGTGCACTCTCCAGACTTTGTCCAGCCCAGCGAGGAGACCATCATCCAGTGAGCATAGTTTCGGGTGAACTTCTTTGAAAGCTTAGAAAACTTACAGTAACCTTGTAGTCAGTGTAGCCCCTCAATCTTCTCAGAAGAACAGCTGCTAAATCAACTTCTTTCTTTAGGCCGAAGGATGACCATTCTTTTATTCTTGTTAACTTTTCCTTATTGGATTCTCCATTCTTTTATTATGGGTCCATGGAATCTGATTTCTAACACCAGATATGTGGTCTCAGGCAAGTTAGCTAGCTCTCTGCTTCAGTTTCCTTACCTGTGAACTAGAGATACTAATTGTATCTATTCTCAGGGTTTGGAAGGCTGTGAAGTGAGTTAACTCATATACCCAGAACAATACCTGGCACATAAGTACTTAATAAATGTTAGTTGTCTTTATCACCATCGTCTTTCAGAGTTTCTCAAGATTATGTTGCAAACCATCTCACCTAATTAGCATTTGTCATTAAGGAAACTGTGGAGCATGACATGCAACATGAACAAGGAACTGGCACGCAAGGCCAGGACTCAAAAAGAAGGGGAGAGTAGGATGGGGGATGAGCAGAGAAGGGAGGGGCTTGGGCCCTCTACCCCCATTTCAAACAGATTTCTTCCCTTTTATTGGTTTTATATATTCCATCTCTAGAAAAGTTTCATTCGGAAAGAGGCTTCTGCTGGTTTTTTTTGGCGGGGTGGGAATCTTGGCTAAGCTGCTAACTAGGGTAACATCCTAGCATGGTCTCAATTACAGTCAAATTCAGCAAAACCTCATTGGATGCAGTCAGTGCCTGCTATGTGTAGAGCTCCCGCTGAGGTCCTTGGAGGGGAAAGGAATAAGAATGTTCTCTGCTTCCAAGTAGTTCATGTTAGAAATTGCACACGAGACCCGGTGCCAAGTGGTGTGCCCTGTGCAGTGGCAACACAGAGGAGGGGCTCCTGGGAAGGCTTCTAAAGGATGGGCAGGGTCTCGATAGGCAGAGATGCAGGGACAGCAAATCCAGGCAAAAGAACAATGTACACAAAGGGAGGAGCATTGGCCTCATTCTCCACACTGGCGAAATGATGCCCGGCCTCCATGCTTCAGTCTGGTGTGATTGGCAGAGGGGAGCCGAAGAGGAGCCAGAGTGCTGCAGGGGAGTGTAGCCTCTATGCCCAGGGTTGGGAGCAATAGAGTGATGGAACACATCAGAGCTGTGTCTTCAGAAGATCATGTGGCACCGGCACCCGGTAGCTTGTGGCAGGATGCTGAGCGAAAAGCTGTCACAGGAAGCCCAGAGAGGTGGCGGGACACTGGGATGAAGTGATGTCTAAACAGAATTAGCTCTCAGGGTTCATTTTCAGCCTAGCTCATTAGGGCAGGTCGGATCTTCTATTTTGTTATTGCTGTGTCGGAGGAATCTTTCTGAAGAAAAGAGGGACAGCACACGCTGCTGCTGCTTGAAAGCCTGCATTTTTAAAGGGTGTAATACACAGTGACAGTTCTGATGTGTGTCAGGGGGTGTGAGTCACGTACCTCACCATGCTCTGCATAATTTAAAATGACAGTTGAGCCTGTCAAACTTAAAGTGAGTGGAGTTCTTTTGATATTTATAAAACATCAAAAAGATAGAATGGTGTCAGCAAAAGTTGGGTCTTTTTATTACTAAGCCACAGGATGATTTTCAGATGATAGTTGCTGAGCTTCCGGCCACGGTGTAAATTTGGTGGTGCCACCGTTTTGAAGGCATTTTCACCCATTGCAATGAGAGGCTGTCACAGGACTCCAGCAAAGACTGAGTGGCAGGCAGGGCACTGACAGCTGCCGTTCGTTCTGTGTGTTAAGGCAGTAGCTACCCCTGATTTCCGGTTCCCCTGAGAAAGTGGAAGTTACTCGCGCGGACCGCTTTAGTCGGCAGACCTGGCGATGTCTCGCGGGTTAGCCCTCTGGCCACCGCCCGCGTCAAGCCTGCCAAGCTCTGGACGTGTCGGATTGATTCCTACGAAAGTGCGTGTGGACACTGATTTTTGTGAATTTACTAATGAGTGAAGTACTTTTAAAACTGAGTGGAACGCAGGGCAGAAAGCGAACGCCCGGGTCACTCCGGGTCCGGGGGACCCCCGCCCCGGTGGGCGGGCCCCGGCGCCGTCCGGCTCGCAGGCCCCGCCCTTGCCGTGCCTCGGCGCCCTCTGGCCTGCAGGCCCCGCCCCGGCGCCGAGCTCTGACGTCACCGCCTGCGCCGGGCGCAGTAGAAACAGGAAGTGGGACCAAAACAAAGGAGCGGCGGCTGGGAGCGGACCTACCTCTCGTTTCTCTTCCGCGTACGTTTGGACCCTGGCCGCCCACCCCAAGGAGCCATCCGACTATGTCCAACATGGAGAAACACCTGTTCAACCTAAAGTTCGCGGCCAAAGAACTGGGCAGGAGTGCCAAAAAATGCGATAAGGAAGAAAAGGCTGAAAAGGCCAAAATTAAAAAGGCCATCCAGAAGGGCAACATGGAAGTTGCGAGAATACACGCCGAAAATGCCATCCGCCAGAAGAACCAGGCAGTGAATTTCTTGAGAATGAGTGCGCGGGTCGATGCAGTGGCCGCCAGAGTGCAGACGGCGGTGACGATGGGCAAGGTGACCAAGTCGATGGCTGGTGTGGTTAAGTCGATGGACGCGACATTGAAGACCATGAATCTGGAGAAGATCTCTGCCTTGATGGACAAATTCGAGCACCAGTTTGAGACGCTGGATGTCCAGACGCAGCAAATGGAAGACACGATGAGCAGCACGACGACGCTGACCACTCCCCAGAACCAAGTGGATATGCTGCTCCAGGAAATGGCAGACGAGGCGGGCCTCGACCTCAACATGGAGCTGCCGCAGGGCCAGACCGGCTCCGTGGGCACGAGCGTGGCTTCGGCTGAGCAGGATGAGCTGTCCCAGAGACTGGCCCGCCTTCGGGATCAAGTGTGATGGCAGAACCCACTCTGAGGTTTCCCAGCCGTATCCACCTTTTGAAATGCTCTCTGTGTGTTAGAGAGCTGCTGTACCCTCTAGAAACTCTGAACGTGCTACAACGCTGAAATGCCCTTGTACCTTTGGGTTTATGGCCCTCTCCAGATACATTAAGAAATCCCAGTCTTTCTCCACTCTTAACTGGATTTCAAAGTTCTGTATAGCGTGTGATGATGTGTATTTTTATAGCTGCCTTTTAACAGAATTAGTTAATTTGCTGTAATGAATCTTTCTCAGAAATTTGATCAAAACTCTAGTTTCCATGTGTTCAGTTTTCTGCCCAAAATTATGAAATTGAAGGTGGTGGGCTTTTTTAGTTTAGTGTGATTGATAATATTTAGAATGACAGGTGGTGCATAAAAGGGGAATAAGTACTTAGTTTGGTTACACAACTATAAACACCTCGTTCAACATACTCAGTGGATAGTGCTATTTCTTTATATCCTTTGGGGGTTTTTCGTTTTTGCCGTCAAACTCAGAGTTCATTTGACTGTTGTCATAACTTATACAAAATCTGGTCTCATAACTTATACTAAAATTGTTTTAGGACATTTTTGCACAGTACTGTCTTTCTGCTTTCCTTCTGTAAATTTTTTATGTGCTAATTGTCTTTGTGTAACTGGAAAAAATGCCACTAACTTCATTTATTATCAGAAAAATTAAATTTTCCCATTTATATTTTCCACGTACTAAAATGAATTTTTGAAAAGATGTAAGAAGGCATAACATTTGACAGTGTCTTTCAGATGAACTTCTCTAACATATTTTTAGTTATTTTCCTATTTCAACACTTTAATTAGACTTCTCATAAAGTCTGTTAATTAGCACGGCAGTCATGTTACTCTAACATTGCCAAAGAACTGTTGATTAGTTTGGGAAAACTCTTGGGACTGTGTTGGTTTGTTTTGATTTTTAACAACCAAAACTAAAAATAAAATTAGAACTGCATTTTAAGTTCTAATTATTTGCATTTATTAATTTGTCTAAAAGCAACATCTCTTTAAAAACCTTGAAAATATAATTTGGAATGTTTTACTTAGCCATGCAAATAACTTAAATATGCATCCAGCCAGCTGGAAATCTGGGAAGAAGGAAAAAGGGAGGATTGGAAGGAAAGAGACAGGCTTGACTTTATAGACAGTAGCCCAGCTAGCTGTACCCTGACCGTCTTCCCAGGAATGGCAGTGTGTGTTCCCTGGCTGAAAAGTAAAGCATGTAGCCACCACTTTCTCATAGCCTCAAAATATGGAAAACAGCAACTTGCTTTTGCCTTGGCAACCATTTTATAAGTTAAATAAGTTTTTTTTAATTCCCCCTTTCCTTCACTGGAAGATTTCTCCATAAAAGAATTCCAGTGTTTCAGAAATAACTACAAGGACTCTTCTAAGTTCTTAGAAAGATTCATAGCCAAATATTTGCCATTGTAATGTTTTCCAGTGTGAACGAGTGTTTAAGAAAAAAAAATAACAAGGTGTATGCAGATGAGGACTAACCCTCATATTTCAGGGTTTTTTTTTTTTCATATTTAGATGTTCAGAAGTCTGCTTGAAGGGACACTTACTGGTTGTCTGCCCAGCATCTTCTCTCAAGAACACCCTTCTAGAAGGCCGTGTCTCCTCTCATCCGCATGGTTGCACAGAGGCAGCCATGTGTGAGTATAGCATGAGTCTAACCCCTCTTTAGACTCGAAAAAATAATTACGACTTAAAAAATAGCTTAATGTTGAATCCTTTGGTAAATTGAGGACCCTTTTATAGTGCAAATATCCCCAACAAAATTAATATATTTTGTGAAATTAAACAATGCTCATATATGCTTGAACTTTCTTAAAATACGTTCATTTCATACTATATGAATGTACATTTTTATGAGTTATAAATGTTATTTTCAGAAGCACTAAAGGCCCATGAATTATTTCCTCACTTTTGCACTTGAAACACTGAAATGTAAATCACAGAAATTTGTCAAATAAATCATTTTAAACTGCATGTTTTTGCATGAGTATGCATCCTACTCTGAAAGATTTTTTCAAAAATCCTTGGCAAGCATTTTATAAGTTAAATAAGTTTTTTTTAATTCTCCCTTTCCTTCACTGGAAGATTTCTCCATAAAAGAATTCCAGTGTTTCAGAAATAACTACAGGGACTCTTCTAAGTTCTTAGAAAGATTCATAGCCAGGCCGGGTGCGGTGGCTCACGCCTGTAATCCCAGCACTCTGGGAGGCCGAGGTGGGCGGATTGTTTGAGCTCAGGAGTTTGAGACCAGCCTGAGCAAGAGCGAGACCCCATCTCTACTAAAAAAATAGAAAGAAATTATCTGGACAACTAAAACTATATATAAAAAATTAGCCGGGCATGGTGGCGCATGCCTGTAGTCCCAGCTACTCAGGAGGCTGAGGCAGAAGGATTGCTTGAGCCCAGGAGTTTTGCTGTGAGCTAGGCTAACGCCACGGCACTCTAGGCCAGGCAACAGAGTGAGACTCTGTCTCAAAAAAAAAAAAAAAAAAAGATTCATAGCCAAATATTTGCCATTATAATGTTTTCCAGTGTGAATGAGTGTTTAAGAAAAAAAAAATAACAGGTGTATGCAGATGAGGACTAACCCTCATATTTAAGGGTTTGTCTTTTTAATATTTAGATGTTCAGAAGTCTGAACATTAAAAGTTAAAAATTCAGAGGTAGATTTGGTTCAGAAAGCATGGTATTTTTCCCAGCTCACTCTCAATCTTACCAAATTTTTGTTTGGTTAGCATGGCCTTGCACATTTCTAGGAGCCCGCTAGTTACTTCTTTACTGTAATTGCTTCTTCACGGCAACAAGGTTTGTCTTCCTATTGAAACTTCCCCAGCCCAAAGATACAATTTACAAAAGGATCCAACTCAAACATACCAGGGAAATAGTAATCTTCCATGGAACTACATAGTACTACCTTTTATTTCTTTCTTCCATTTTTCTGCCTTCACATGTACAATTTCTAACATGGATTTATAATGGGAAAAGTTACCCAGATGTGGTAGTGCTCACCTGTGGTCCCAGCTACTCTGGAGGCCGAAGCAGGAAGGTCACTTGAGCCCAGGAGTTTGAGGTTGCTGTGAGCTAGGCTGACGCCACAGCACTCTAGCCTGGGCAACAGAGTCTCATGAAAAAAGAAAAGAAAAAAAAAATAGAGGGGACTGATAACACAAACTTAGCTTTCTCCTCTCCTCTGCTTTTGGTTTATTTCGGTTCAGGAACCCAGATGATACTGCGTGTGCTATTAGAAACTCTCACTAAAGCTGTTTCTTCCTGAAGGAGTGTCAGTGCGCCTGTTAATACGCGCTTTTTCAGTACAGGCGTACCGTGAGGCTTGAACACCGTGCCTACCCGGCTGTCTTTGATTTGGAAAAGACCACCTGAAATCAGCACCAGTCAGATAGCCTCATTAACTGAGCGTAGTGCCAGAGTCAGCCAGACGTTCACACTGACAAGCAGAGGGAGGGACTTCCCCGGCAGTACACACAGGCAGCCACGTGTGAGTACAGCGGGGGGCCGCTTCTGTAGCCCATATCCAAAAGCTCAAGACGCTTCAACAGTAGCAAAAAGATACAAGCCAGTGAACATTAAACAAACCAATGAGCAGGATCCTGGAATCTTCTTTTTTTAAATCAGCTGACTGGATTAGCAAAATGCCTACCTGATTCAGCCAGGTTCATTTTTCTACGACTAGATTGTAAGTTCCAAAGGGAGCAGGACCGGGCTGTGTTGGTCTCCATTCCTGGGCCTGGTGCGGTACCTCCCGCAGTGGGTCGGGGGTGTATCCCGGGATGGGCGCGTGCCTCCCCTGGGTGCCCTTACTCCGGGAGCGCTGGGAGCTCTCCCATAACAGACACAGAAAGGCAAAGCTGGCGCCGCCAGCCCCGGCCAAATCCCCAGGTATGACCCCCAGGAGCACTGTATCCTTCCCTTAACAGCATTTCTCTGGAACGAAACGTTTGCTCTTCAGGGTCCGCACGTCCTCTCTTCGCCCTGAATAATGTCGAGACAAACAGTTCAGCAGTGTCTATTCAGATGACTCGATACAGGAAAAGAGTTAGACTGATGTATATCACGTGCCAGCTATGTGGGACTTCATCCTAGACATAAAAACATTCTCTGCCCTTAAATGATACTCCGTACAATTAGGAAGATAGGGCATACACAGAAAAAAGTGGACAAGGGTGTATACAGATGTTTTTTTAAAAGTCAAGAAGAACACTTAAGATTAGTGCGCTCTGTTATTTTACATCTCAGCCCTGAAGGAGGGTTAAGTCAGTATAAGGCGGGGACCATGCTATCAGATCATGAAACAGCGAGTACCAGGAAAAGGGGATTGCTGTGTGCAGGGCAGTTAGACTTGGCTCAGTGCTGGCAGGGTTTAACCCCCAGTTTCAGAGTAGGGGGAGGAAAGCAGGAATGACACAGGTTCTGAGAGGCTACACTACGGGGAGGTTCGGCAGGAGTGGAGGGCTTTGGGACATGAGGAGAGTGAAGGCGAGAGTGGAAAGATTGCAAAGGACTCAAGGCCAGATTAAAAGCGTGGACTTGACCACGAGGAAAGGAGCAGGCGCAGGCGCCATCGGAGCTGATTGTGCCCGTGGACAGATGAGAGCACAGAGCGGGGAGGCGGGGAAAGCCGAGAGGGACACACCGATGACGGGTCACGACTGATCACTGGTCCCCGGGGACGTGGCTGAACTACAGGCTCTGACGCTGTGGTCTGCGGATGCTGCTGACGTCCTGCTGGTCTGGGAACCCCTTTCTAAGGAGCGCGGACCCTAACCCGGCTACCGGGTAGAACTGCCTGGCACATTGTCACTGAATGAATAATGTTCTCCACCAGTATTTTTATATCTTATAGATAGCTATCACGAATTAAATTTCAGTAACATCCCAAGAAAAGTTTTTTATTTGCCCTGACAGAGTTCCAACTTGCTATATTTTTTTCACAAAAGAAATAGTTTTAAATACATTTTAATTAAATTGAGTTGGTACTTTTTCTGAGATCAAGTAGTTTAATTATAAAGACCTTTTATAGAATAATTTTCATCTTTTCGTGACTCTCTTTGTCCCCTCTTTCTGATCAACTCCAAGGCTTTAAGAATTCTGTGACTTTTGAGTTATTTTAGTTATTTTAAGATGGGATATAAACAATGAATTGTTATTTTTTGCCAATATCAAACAGAAAGGAGATCTAAATGATGACAGTAAAAACACTTCTGCAGACATGAATATCCTCAGCTGTAGCAGGAAATAATGAAAAAAGTAAAAAAAAATTGCTTTGTAACCACTTTTTTATAGTGTCCACAATGCGAGTGACTTTTTTACAGTTGTAACTTGGTATCGTTTTGCAACTGTGTATCTGGTGTTCCAGTGAATAGTCTGCAGGGGGCATTCTTAGGTCTTAATTTTTCTGCTCAGCATGCAGTGGCAAATTTAAGGAGACAATGTTATCACCCTTTAAAATGTAGCTGTTAATGTATGCAACATTCTGCGTGTGATTTGGGAGAGCCTTTCACAACTTCTCTCTATATGTAATTTGAAGTGCTGCTGCAGAGTGCTGTGCAATATGCTGATGGGATCACAGATCAAAGCAGGAGGCCGGCCGAAATCTACCACCACATTCTTTATTCCTTAGAGTCTTTTAAAGAACTAGTGGCACATTCACACTCCGGGGTGAATTTTTGCATTTTATTTTCATTGCACAAACTTGAAATTCATGAACTCAGAGTAGCATCAGCAACAATTCAGAAGATACTCTTGGAAATGTTCGGTGAAACCTCTCAGGTCTCCCTGGGATGGTTAGGCATGGGAGCTGGAAGGAGTTTTGAGCATCCATCTCGGAGAGTAGGGACTGGCTTTGCCGGTGTCACCCACATCTCAGAATCGCTCTCCTTTAATGGTGTTGGAGAAGATACACCCACCACTTCCTTGGGAAGGCGGTCTTTAATCGCATCTCTCAAGAGCTTCAGATGTGTTTTTTTGTTAACCATATTTCATTCTTTCTGCTCATGCTAGTCATTACCATCTGAATAAATTCACCCACCTCCCTCCACCCTGTGTTCATCCTATTTTAAATTGGTTGCTTCCTAAGCTCTAACTATAGCCAAAGTCTTCATATTTGATTTTCAGTTCCTTCCAGCTCTTCTAATCAGAGCAGATTAGTCTCTGAGCCCACGCTCAGTGTTGTATGTCCCTTGTCAAGAGGACAGACCATTTCCGAATCGGAGCATTGCAGAAAATGCTCCCCCCCCCTGCCCCCCAACACTGCCGGCCACAGCGTGGCCTTCCCTCCCCACCCCAACGGAAGCTTCCGTGGCCTCGTCACAGGTTCCAGGTCTTTTCGCTCCTCTCCTGCTAGGTGCTCAGGAGCTTGGGGCGCCCTTCCCTGGTGCTCTCCATGCCACCGAATTCCACACCGGCAGCCACTGCTGTTTCCAAAGCAGGCCTCAGACAAGGGCAGGGCACTTCAGCACTGCTCATCCCCTCCCGAGCCAGCACCACCCCCTCGGCCACGTCACCGCCATCGGGCGTGCGGGCACCTCCCAGGCCTTGCAGGGCCTGTTCCACAGAGGCCAGTGGCAGGGCGGGATCCCTCTGGCTTCTCAGTGGCCCCATGAGCTGGGTCATGTCTGCCTCACAGTCTTCGTGCAGAAGCAGTTGACCTCCATTGAGGACTCCACGTTGGCCCGCCTGTGCATGGACAGTGTCCCCCACGCGCCCCTGCTCCAGCTCTCCCAGCTGCGGAGCCATGGCGCTCCCTCCGCGGAGGCCTCCCCCGCCCGCCTGCGTGCCAGCCTGGCTTTATGGTCCTACAGGGCTCTTACCACGGCCTGGCATAGTTTACATGGATTCTTTGATCTGTTGTGATTTGTCTTTTCCACTAAAATGGGAGGCCCATGGGACAGGTCTCTGTCCTGTTGGCCCGGTGTCCCTAGCGCCTAGCACAGGACCTGGCCCCAGTAAGTGCAGGTGGAAGGAACCACTGTCCTCAGACAGTCAGCCGGTGCAGTCACAGACACCTCGGTAGCCTCCCTTCCCTCGGCCTGCGGCTGAAATGACCTCATTGCTGACGGTCGAGGTCACAGCTGCCCCCACCACTTCCTGTCCCTCTGAAAGGACATTCCCAACACCAGCAGACCCACTGCTGCCCCTCCGCATATTCTGCTTGTGGCTTCCCTGTCCAGGGGGTGCCGCTCATGCCAAACCGAGGGTGTATGGATAGAGGCTGCCAGAATCACCCCAGGGCCAGGCCCTCGGGCCACCAGGTGCTGTCTTTGCTGTCTTTGGAAGGACTTAAGGTGGTCAAAAGACTCAAGTGGTCTCACGGTGCCTTTGGCCAGGTGGTTCGTAAGGATGGCCCCCTTTGCCTCTATAGAGGGGAAAAAGACCTTCCCTCTCCCCTCCTAGGTTCCGTGGCTGGGTCCTGCGGAGTGACAGGCGGAGTCGGGTTAACAGCAGGCAGCGCGCACACGTTTTATGCCATATGTGTACACGCGCAGGGAACTTCATAAGAAAAATGAAGACGCGACAAAGCGTCCAGGACCGAGAGCTTATGTACCTTTTTGACAAAAGAACAGTAAATTTATGGAGAAGTGACAAAGGGGAAGGATTTAAGCTCCTGGGGGCAGCAACCTGGGACAGGGGCCAGGAAATACCTGGAGGAATTCGTGAAAGGGTTATTTTAGCGCATTCGTTTGGACACGTCCATTTCAGCATCGCTCCCCGTCTCTGGTGATAAGAACGTTCTCGTCCTGGTACCTGGCGGGCACCTTTCTCTCGGGGAACTCGTGGCTTTAGGTCCAGGGGGTCAGTCAGCCGGTCCTGCGTCTGCCGACTGTCAGCGCCTGCAGCTCAAAGTCACGGTGTGCCGGGGTGCACGTGTCCAAAGGCGCGTTCCAAAGCCCGTTGCCTCCCTCTTGCCCACGCTGAGCGTCTGGGGGCCTTCGTGGGGCCGGTGCAAGAGCACGTGGAGTTGGCGATGCCCCTCCGCCATGCAGAATGCCCATGAGCACAGGCCGCCTGACCGCACGTGCCCAGTGACGGGGCCCACCCACCCGTTTGGCAGGCAGGGAAGCCGGCGTGGCCCCGGTCTGTCCACACCTGCCCTCCGCTGCTGCAGCCTTGCTGGCCAATGCGCAGGTGCCACCTGGATGCCCCCAGCCAGGGAGCATGGGCCACTCAGACCTCCTCCCTCCTCACTCTCTCCTTCTTCCTTCCAGAAGGCCCTGCTGCCCCATTTCTCCAGAAGTGTCCTTTGTTCACCAGTTAACCTGTCCCTGGCTCTTCCTGGTCCCTGTGTGGCCTCTCAGCCCTTCTTCACTCTGTCTGCAGGAGGGGGATCAGGACAGAGGACACTGGTTCCTTCCACCTGTCCTGGGGCCAGGCCCTGAGCTAGGTGCTGGGGACACCCAGGCCAACAGGACGGAGACCTGCTCCGCAGGCCGCACATTTTAGTGGAAGAGACGAATAATGACAGATCAACAATAAATGTAAAATGTGCCAGGAGGTGGTAAGGACTTTGTAGGACCATAAAGCCAGGCTGGTGCCGAGATGGGCAGGGGAGGCCTCTGCAGGAGGAGTGCCACGTTCTCGGGGCACGAAGACACGGGGAAGTGGCGCCGTGACAGCTGCGTCCACCTGCAGGCAGACCCGTGGGTGCCTGCCCGCCGCTGGCTTCTCCCTCCAGCAGGTCACATCGACGGCGGGGATGGATCTTACACTGACAGGCTTCGCCAGGTGTGCCCCACACACCCATCGTGCACACTCACACACTCATCGTGCACACTCATGCACGCTGAGTCACACTCATCGTGCACTCAGTCACACCCATCGTGCAGTCACACACACACCATGCACACTCAGTCACACTCATGGTGCACACTCACAGTCACTCATCGTGCAGTCACACATTCACAGTCACATCATGCACACTCAGTCGTACATACTCATCGTGCACACATACACTCAGACACATCGTGCACACTCAGACACACTCATCGTGCACACTCGCAGTCACACTCAGTGCACACTCAGACACATCGTGCACACTCACATGGTCACACACATGCAGTCACACGTGCAGTCACACACGTGCAGTCACATTCACACTCATCGTGCACACTGAGACACACTCATCGTGCACACTCACATGGTCACACACACTCATGCAGTCACACATGTTCACACTCATCGTGGAGTCACACATACTCATCGTGCACACTCAGACACATCGTGCACACTCACAGACACACTCATCGCGCAGTCACAATCATCGTGCACACTCAGTCACACTCATGCACACAATCATCGTGCACACACAGTCATGCACAGTCACACACATTGTGCACACAGTCATACACACGTGCAGTCACACACGTTCAGTCAGTGCACTCAGTCACACATCATGTGCACTGTGACACATCGTGCACACTCAGTCACACAGTCACACGTGTACACTCACAGTCACACGTGCACACAGTCACACACATCTGCACACTCACAGACACACATCGTGCACTCAGTCACACACACATCGTGCACACTGCCAGTCACACACACACACCCCCCCACACACACACAACTTTGGGTCTGAGTAGGAGCTTCTGCTAAAGGAACATCTACCACCTTCCATTTTTTACTTAGATCGCAAGGTACTCTTCTACTAGCTTGGCCTTGGGAGGGAGGCCGAGCTCCTTCTCGATTTCTGAGCAGCCCCACCCCGCCCCGTGGCAGTGGGGAAGCGGGAGGAGGGAAGGTGGCAGAAAGGAAACATGAATGCAGTCCCCTGCCCTGGTCAGGGATGTTGTGGCGTCCAGACAAATGTGTGTTCAGGAAAGAAAGTGGGGACTTAGCTCAGCTTCTTGACCTGCGGCCTCGGTGGCTGTACCTGTGTCAGCGTCCCACTAATGTGTCCGGCAGCCCCAGGGGCACGTGGGCAGAGAGCACGTCTCAACCGTGCCGCTTTCTTTGCAGCTTCCTGGAAAGAATCGACAGCGTCAGTCTGGTTGACTACACACCCACGGACCAGGTACGTGGGGCAGAGCCCGCCACCACCGCGGAAACTGGGGAGTGACTCCCGATACTAAGTAGTGGTTGTGCTAAAGTGGATTAAACGGAGGGGAGGGGAATCCTTAAAATAGTGACTCCCAAATTGTGTGTGCTGCCCCTGCGTGTGTAGGCGGCGTGTTGAAGCCCCGCACCTCTGCTGCCCTGGCTGGGGACCCTGACACTTAGTGGCCGTGCAAATTGCCGACGTGCAAGCGGCTCACCCGCAGACTGGGACTTGCGATCCCGCTGCTCCCGCGCCATCGACGGGAGAGCGTGGCCTTCATTTCCCAGCTTCACACGGCAGCCCCAGGACTGGGTCCCATCTCACAGCGAACTCTCCGAGCTTCTGCTTTGGGTTGAGCCAGAAAGGAGCACCCCACTGCTGTAACTAGCAGAGAGGGACTCTGCCCCCGGCCCACGGGCGGCTGCAGAGACTCGCAGGGTCCCGGAGTGGTCAGTTAAGGAGCCCTCAGGTGCTTCTGGAGCTAGAGAACCCCAAGGAAGTGAGGGGGCCTCTGCCCAAACCAAACTCTGCAAACTTCCCCAGCGTCTGTATCCCCTGGGGGCCTTGGCCTTGGGCCCCTGGAGGCTCGCTCTTCTCGGCCTCCCCTGCAGGTCTGAGATTCTCTCCCCCTGAAGTTCGTCCCTTTCTGAGGGTGACTCCAGGAGTCTAAAATGATCCGACAGAGCGATTCAGGCTTCCTGGTCTTCAGCCAGTCCCTGAAGGCTGTCCGAACCGTGGCGCTGACACGGGACTCTCCCAGCGTCCTGGCGGAGTGGCTGCTTCGTTAATGCCACGGTGGACTTGGCCGTCAGCAAGAAATCCCCGGCATCTGCCAGATGCACCAGAGATGTCAGCTTTGTGAGGCTACGTGGCTTCTTGTCCCCTCAGGGCCACTTCATCTTTTATCTCAGAGCAGAAGTGTGCAAGGCAGGGCGAGTAAATCTGAAATGAGCCGGTCCCTGAGATTCAAGGCCCATGAATGCGAGTGCGCTTCCTGTGGTTTCTCCCCCAGACTGTCGCGCACGCCGGCGGGCGGCTCCGCAGTTGCAGCGGCACGACACCGCAGAGATCGTGCCTCAGACCCATGGGTGCCGTGACTTGGCTGTCAGGTGCATGACAATCCGTAAGAGGCCTTCATGAATGACAAAAAAAACTCTTAAAGAAACCAAAGCACAGTTATCAAGTCTTTAAGGACCAAACCGATACATTCATCATGTTTTCTCTGCAGCATGAAACAGAGAACATTCATCTGAGTTTTTAATTATTATTGTTTCCTTTAAATTTTTGATTTTTTTTTTTTGTAAGACAGAGTTTCACTCTTGTCACCCTGGGTGGAGTGCAACGTCAAACTGCTGGGCTCAAGGGGTTCTCCTGAGCAGCTGGGAAGATAGACACACACCACTGCGCCTGCCTAATTTTTTCTATTTTTGGCAGAGACGGAGTCTCACTCTTGCTCAGGCCGGTCTCAAACAATCCTCCCACCTGGGTCCCCCAGAGTGCTACGACTGCAGGCCTGAGCCACCTCACCTGGCCTGATTTTTTTCTTTTTTTTTTTTAATTTTAGAGACAGGGTCTCACTCTTTCACCCAGGCCGGGGTGCAGTGGTGCGATCATAGCTCACTGAAACCTTGAACGCCTGGGCTCAAGCAATCCTCCAGCCTCAGCCTCCCAAAGTGCTGGGACTACAGGCATGCGCCACTGCGCCTGGCCAGAAACTCAATTCTTGGAGTCGCACCAGGGCTTTCCTGTGAAGGGGAACAGTGATGTAACGTGTGTGCTTCCCACTCTCGCCCCCAGGACCTCCTCAGATGCCGAGTTCTGACATCGGGGATATTTGAGACACGATTCCAAGTGGACAAAGTGAATTTTCAGTGAGTATGTCGCCAAGAGCACAGCTGCTGCGGGACGGTGTCCGTGGGGCCTGAGGCAGCTTACTCCTGGGACGCTGGTGGTGACCTTTCAGACGAGGGCAGCTTGGGCGAGATTGGGACTCTGGCAGGGGCTGAGGTGTTGATTTTCACCACCTTTAGAGTGGAAATGAGAATACCTGAAAAGAAAACGATGTTCTCATCCGAGTTGTAGATTCGATTGGTGCTTTGTTAGATCAGGAGCCTCATCAGATCCATTCTTCCAGCGTGCGATCTTTGGGACGCACGGCCACGGTTTGAGAACTGACACCCGCAACTTCGTGTTGCCTCCAGAGGGATCTTCCGGGCTGCCGGGCACACACGCCTCTGCAGGAGCTTTTTCCTTCACTTTCCTCCCCAGAGAAGCGGTTAACTCTCCCTCCACAGAGGCTGGTGCACCGCGTGCTCTTTGCCATCCCTGTGGCCATGACCCTGCACCCTGTCACCGCCCCCAGACTCCCTCAGCAGGGGTCTCGCTGGTCCCCACGTCCTGGCTCACCCGTTCCAGCCCACCCTGCTCACTGCCGGGAAATGACTCTTTCCAAAGCACAGCTCGGATCGTGCTCTTCCTCTGTGGGAAAGGGTTCGGGGCTCGCCATCGCCTCTGCACCCTCCGACCCCAGCCCTGTTACCAGCCTCCACCCCCAGCCCTGCTCCTCCACCTGCCGCCTGCCCCACCAGCTTGGACTGCAGTCAGGGTCCTTCCATCCGCCCCAGCCCCTTCTGCCACAGTGCCTTTGCTCATCCCACGCTCTGAGCCACAGATGCCCCGTGGCCTAAGCACGCCCCACAGATCTGTCATCAAAGCACCCTTCAAATCCCAGCCCGCGGTGAGTCCTTGGAGTTCCCTCGTCTCCTGTGCTGCCGTACACCTTTCCCGAGTCCCCGTGGCACGTCTGACTCGGTTCAGCAAGCCAGTGGTGACAAACCAGCAGGTGTCCCGTGTTCTGCTTGTTCCGAAACTCCCAGGTGCCGAGCGCTCCCCAGCGCACAGGTGGTGGCACCTGCTTCTGGATTCCTGAGAAGCCCTCATGACGCTACTGCCAGGACGTACATCCTGGATAAAACCCAGCGAAGCCTCTCTGCGCTGTCGGGAGGGGTGCACAGCGCAGCTCGGAGTTGGTGCTTTGTGGTTTTGCCACATATAACCGCATCCCTGCATAGGGGAATTATGAACAATGAAGTTTTACCCCACATTCGTGATTTTGTTTGAAAGTGTCCTGCTAATCAGCTCCTGTGTTTTCATAAAGTGCGTCAGCGTGCCCCGCATGTGCTAACGGCAAAGCACACGCGTGAAAATCTAGTAAGATCTTTGACAAACCTGCCGGGACAATTACACACAGCTGTGTGGTCCTAGAGCACCTGCAGGAAGTTTAGGGAAAGGAGGAACCTCAGAGCCAGAGACGCCTGAGGAGGCTGGAAAGATCTGGCAGGATTCGGGTGCATAGAGAGAGACTCTGCAGAGGGAGGAGTGACTCGGGCCAGAGGCTGCGCTGAGGAGGGGCTGCGAGGGGCCGGGCGTGGCTGAGAAACCAGCGGCAGCCGGTGTGCGCCCCCGGCCAGGCCGGGCAGAGGTGGCAGAGAAGGTGGGAAAGGCCCACTGCGGGGCACGGGGCAGAGGAGGCTGGTGACCGAGATGGCGTCGATGTAGGTAGGTCAGCAAGGGGCCTTTCTCGGTTCTCCAGGAGAGGGAGGACACGAGTCCCGAGAGCTGGGACAAGTCCTAAGAAGGATCTGCCCCGGGCAGGGACTGTGCTTGCACTCAGGCCTGAAAGTCTGAGCAAGAGGGAGTTTAAACTAGAAACCGCTGTGTTTATTAAGCCCCCACTGTATGCCCCTGGACACTGCCACCTGCTGTCATGCCCTCTCACCTCTACAGCCGCCGTGGGGTGAGAGAGGAGGGTCGGAGGCCGGGACAGGCGGAATCACCTGTAGCCCAGAGCACAGCAGCGGTGGTGGTGCGGGCGGGACAGCGGCCGGAGCTGGGTCCAGACCCACGTGGCAACGGCTGGAACCTGCCGATAGCAAAGGAAAAAGCATAAAAGTGTCCCGCGGTTCCCCCAGATAACTGTCTTCCTGTTGCTCTTCCGCAGCATGTTCGACGTCGGCGGCCAGCGGGACGAGAGGAGGAAATGGATCCAGTGCTTTAACGGTGATTGTCGCGCTCGGAGAAGACGGGGCGACTCTAACACCCCGCTGTGGCTGCGTTTTCCTGTTTTGAATTAGACTATCTTTATTCTAGCCAGTGTATGAAGCGTAGCATTTTATAGACGATTATTATATCTTCCATAGATATCTGTCAGCCTTACAAACAAAGAACTCGCGCACCCCAAAGTTACGGTTACCTTTTGGGCAGGGTCCTCATCGCGTGCGTCACTGAAACAGCCACTCATGCGGTGAAGACTCAAGTCATTGCGTGTCGCGGGTGTGCTGTACATGACCCATGCGACCGCTGCTAACTACGGCGCTTGCCTTTTTCCCTTTTCTCTCCCTTTTCTCTCCCTTTTCTCTAAGACGTCACTGCTATCATTTACGTCGCGGCCTGCAGCAGCTACAACATGGTGATCCGGGAGGACAACAACACCAACAGGCTGAGAGAATCCCTGGACCTTTTTGAAAGCATCTGGAACAACAGGTTATCAAAATAACAAATTCAGTCTCACCATCAGATTGCAGATTTTCTTTTATTAAAAATACACATAGCGGCCGGGCGCGGTGGCTCATGCCTGTAATCCTAGCACTCTGGGAGGCCGAGGCGGGTGGATTGTTTGAGCTCAGGAGTTCGAGACCAGCCTGAGCAAGAGCGAAACCCTGTCTCTATGAAAAAATAGAAAGACATTAATTGGACAGCTAAAAATATATAGAAAAAATTAGCCGGGCATGGTGCCGCATGCCTGTAGTTCCAGCTACTCGGGAGGCTGAGGCAGGAGGATTGCTTGAGCCCAGGAGTTTGAGGTTGCCGTGAGCTGGGCTGACGCCACGGCACTCTAGCCCGGGCAACAGAGTGAGACTCTTGTCTCAAAAAATAAATAAATAAATACGCGTAGCTCACTTTCATGCTTAGTCTCCGGATATATTCTTTCCTTACTGATAAACCCGAACAGTAGGAAGTATCTTTCAGTCCGTCTAACGTGCAGATACACCAAGGACAGAGTGGCCCCGGCGCACCCCGGCAGGGCTCCGAGATTACGGTCGGCCTCCGTATCGCAGGTTCTGCGTCTGACCAGCCAAGCAGCCGCAGATCGAAAATACCCTAAACTAAACATAGCAATAAAACTATTAAAATGATAGAAATAAAAACAGCGTAACAACTGTTTACGTTGTGTTAGGTACTATAAGCAATGCGAGATAATTGAAAGGATACAGGAGAATGTGTCTGCGTTCCATGCGAATGCTACAGCATTTTATGTCAGGGACTTGAGCATCTCGGATTTGGGGATCCACAGGCGCCCCGGACCCAATCCCCTGTGGATGCCAAGGGATGACTGTATACGTAGGGTTCAAATTTGATTTTGTTTGATTTTAAACTTTAGGATGTACCAGTTTAGAACATCCGCTAATAACTAGAAGATCTCGAAAATGCCTTACAGCTCACAGTCACCACATCATCATGTCTGAAACTGCTAGCACTGCAGAGTGGCGGAGAGGACCGTTCAAGAAAGGACCAGCCAGCAGGCACACACAGTACATACATATTTAGTTAAAAATCAGAGTTTCTTCTGAAATATGTAGGGAGAAATATCACCAAGGAGGGCAGGAAACATGAATTGACCTCGCAAAAGGTTTGGATTATCGGAAAAGTGTTTCTCTATCAAGTGTTCAACAACATTTTTAGTTTTATGATATTAAAAAAGTTGATGGGAAAGACAAAGGGTTGGAAATACCAGGTATACAGGTGAATACTTTGGAGTTATTATAAATTTATACACACACACAGAAAATAACCACAATTGTTATATGAAAAAGCAGATTTAAAAACATCATGATTGGCTGGGTGCAGTGCCTCACGCCTGTAATCCTAGCACTTTGGGAGGCTGAGGTGGGAGGATCACTTGAAGCCAGGGCTTTGAGACCAGCCTGGGCAATATAGCAAGGCCCCATTTCTACAAAATATAGAAAAATTAGCCAGTCGTGGCGGCGTACCTCTAGTACTAGATACTTGGGAGGCTGAGGAGGAAGGATGGCTTGAGCTCAGGAATTTGAGGCTGCAGTGAGCTATGATTGTGCCACTGCACTCCAGCCTGGGTGACAGATTGAGATCCTATCTCAAAAAAAAAAATCATGATCTTATTTTTATAAATATGTGGGAGCATAGAAGAAAACCTGGGCATAAAAACATAACAATTCTAATAGTAAGTGTCTCTGGGTGTAATTACATTGGATTTTTTCTATATGTTTTTCTGTAATTTAAGATTTGTTTTTGCAAAGACTGTGTATTTTATAACAAGAAGAAACAGTAAAGCTGTTTCCATTTGAGGGGAAAATGGGTTGTGTTTTTAATTTATGGTAAGATTCCTATGGACTAATCAGCTTGATTCCTTTGAAGTAATGGAATTTCCAGGGGCTTTGCTGATTTGTACAGCTGAACTCATTCTAAGTCATTCTCAGCTTGTTTCATGAAACATGAGAACAGAGACCTTTCACACTCCCCCTACACTGTACCTGAGCCTCCTGCGTTTGCTTGTCATGTGAAGTGCAGTGAATCTACATCTGGTTAATATCATGCTCCAAGGTTGGAGAACCTTAGACCTGTTCGAAGGAGGCAGAAAGGCAGAAGCAGGAAGCCAGCTGCTAATTGCACTCTGTGGTTGGCTAATGAGTCACCGTCGTTTTGTTGTTAACACTTCAGCGTCATCCAGTGTGTTTTCTGACCCTTTATTGGATAAATTACACCACAGAAATCCAAGTGTATTCGTTACACAGGTAAACCTTAGCTTTGTTACCAATACATTTATGTCCCCAGTGAGTCTGAATTAGAAGGCGACAGACTGTTACATTAGCTACAGGTGGAGTATCCCTTAACCAACATGCTTGGGACCAGAGGTGTTTTGGATTTCAGATTTTTTCAGATTTTGGAATATTTGCGTTGTATTTACTGGTTCCGTATCCCTGATCTGAAAATCCAAAATGCAAAATGCTCCAATGAGCATTGCCTTTGAGCATCATGTCAGTGCTCAAAAAATTTCGGATTTTGGAGCATTTCGGATTTTAGATGTTCTGATTAGGGATACTCAACCCGTACCTGTATTTGTCTGTCATTGCTTACAGATGGAATTACGATACTGGTGTATCAATCAATTCGAAATCCTGCACATTTTTAGGAAGATGATAGTGTTTTTTTAGCAACTTCTATGTTAGAAGGACTTTTCACACACTGGTATATGTGAAATTTGTATGTTTACTTCTCCTTTTTAGGTGGTTACGGACCATTTCTATCATCTTGTTCTTGAACAAACAGGATATGCTGGCAGAAAAAGTCTTGGCAGGGAAATCAAAAATCGAAGACTATTTCCCAGAGTATGCAAATTATACCGTTCCCGAAGATGGTAAGATTTCAAAACACTGTTCACAGTCGAGGAATAGAAGCAATTGATTTTTCAAAAGTCCTATTACTGTAATTCAAACACTTCTGATTAATCTAAGAAATCCAATTAATTTAATTCTCTCTCCTACTGCCCGTATCCTAAAGTACTAGAGTATTGAAATGTCCCGTTTAGCATTAATTCCCCCTGGAAATGTTTCAGAGTCACTCTCCGGTCCAGCCGTGCAGCAGGAGAAAGGGGCGTTTTGGAGTGTGGGGCTCGTTCTCCTCCCTGCTGCCCCCAGCTGGGTCTGTTGTGACTAATAGACCTAACTTCGCCCTCACAGTAGCCTTATTTGGAGTGTCTGTTACGTTTTCCCGTGGAAAGAGAGGCAGAGGGGACATACCGTGTTCAAGGCCAGGCAGGCAGAGCCCGTGAAGGCAGGGCAGTCCTTGAAGCCTTTGGCCCCCAGCCGTGCTTTCGGCCACTGTGCACATGCTCCTGTCTCCAGCGATGTCTTTGCCTACGACATTGGTCACTTTCGCTAGGGTGACCACCCATCCCAGGCCACCGGAGAAGCGGGGGTTTCCTGGGACGGGGGGCTCTCAGTGCTAACACCAGGAGGGTAGAGCGGGAGGACTGGTCGCTGCTGCAGTCGCTGGCTTCAGCAAACACCAGGGCCGCCAGAGGCTCCCGGAGCGATTGGTTTGAGGAGGAACAGCACCACTTCTCGCAGCCGGCACCCCAAGCTAGATAAAGCAGCACGAAAGGGACTTCCCTGGAAACTAAAGTGAAGATTCGGGAGATTTATTTTTCATCATCGATGAAAGTGGAAAAGAAAACTTGCATTAGTCATTCAGCTTGCCCGTTATGTTCAATTTTATCTTCTCCACCGTGGCACGGGCTCTCTGCAAGCACACGCACGGTGAACCCTGAACACGTTGCACCCTTGCGCAGACGCCCTCGCTCGGGGCTCGCCGCGGGCCACGTCCCTGAGCCGCCAGCAGCACCGCAGCTCCCGGGAATGTGCACAGGCTCCGAGTCCCGGCTCCTGCCACGGGCCCAGTACGCCACAGCGAATCTCACTGACATTCTTCACGGCCTTTGCTCTCACCTCGCTCAGCCTGGTGACGCCCTTTCCGAGACCAAGGCTCTGTGCCCCTTGCCTCCAGGAAGTGGCTTGCTCCCCCGCAGTGGCCAGCGTCACCGTCCTCCCCGCACGCGGGGTCCTCAGCGTCTCCCGGCCCAGGCAGGAGCCCGGCTCTGGGAGCCACCTCCAGAGTGTCCACCTCTGCCGGCTCTTCCCTCTGTCCCTCCTCACCTCGGTCCCGTCCCTCACGACCCTCATCTCCGCGACTGCCACAGCTTCCTGCCTGACCTTGCTGTATCTGGCCACTCACATTTCCAGAACATTCTCTGAACTTCTGCCCAAGTCATCTCTCTGAGCCACGGGGCACCACTGCCATGGCTGAACGGCCCATACGCTGAGGCCGGCCCGCCCCAGCTGCGCACGTCAAAGGGCCCCGTCCAGCCCAGCGGCCAGGGGGACCCCAGGCTGTGGCCACAGTGCCAGGCCCAGTGCCTGGTGTTCCCCCGTGGCGTGCCGTGTCCCTCTGTGCCTGCCTCTCCCAGGGCACCCGCCTCTCCCTGGGCCCACTGTCCACTCGCTCTCAACTCGCACCTTCTCAGCACTAAACGGGATGAGACTCGCAGCAACTGTGCTGAGTGGAAGAATCCACGTGAAGAAGACTCTGTGCCATGTGGATCCATTTGTCTAAAATTCCCTCTAGACACTGCAGACTCTAGTGACAGAGGCACGTCAGTGGTTGCCTAGCAGGCGTTGCCAAGGGGGGTGACGACACTTTGTGCATTTACAATGTGTGTATTTCGGTGCGTGTCATTACCCCTCGGCACAGCCGGGGCCTCGTCCCCGCTAGATGAACGAGGCGAGACTCTCTCAAGGTGGACCGCTTTGCAAGCTCCCCGGCAATTCCAGCGCACAGCCCGGGCCGGGAACCACAGTGGGTGCCCTGCTCCTCCCCTGCCCTGGCACCCGCCCTCCGGCAGAGCGTGGCAGGTCTGCAGGCCAGGCCTGACTCGGCCCCCCAGAGCCACCCATTACTTGCTCCCGCGAGAGTGATGACGTCCGCACAGACCCTGCCTCGGAGGAGGCAGAGTGGTGAGCACTGAGCTGTGAAGCCTCGATCTTAGGAAAGCAGATGTCGTGGGTCACAGAAAGCAGGGGACAGTCCCATGAACACAGCCTCTTGAGGGGAGAACGTCTCAGGAAGACCTGGAGCCAGGACGGCCTGCCACAGCTGGTCTCCATCGGGGCTCCCGGAGCCCGAGTCTGCGGCAGGAGCGGGAAGCGGGTCTTCCTGCGAGCGAGGCCGAGGGGGCTGAGCCGGGAGCCGGCCCGTCCCAGCAGCAGGAGGCACCCAGCTCTCCTCTCCGCCACAGCCCCGCAGGGAGCCGGCTCTGGGGCTCAGTCTGGGCAGCGCTCGGCGGGATGCTTTCATGCAGCGGGTGGAAGCTAGCCCACCCCAGCTTGCCTCGGTCTGCTGGGACTGTTGTAACAAAGTACCCCAGGCTGGGCAATGTAGGAGCAGCAGCAGCTCGTTGCTCACGGTTCTGGAGGCTGTGAAGTCCAAGGTCAGGGCGCCCTCAGGTTCGATGTCTGGCGAGGGGGGCTCTCTGCTTCAGAGACAGTGCCACTCGATCCGCCTCACGTGATGGAAGAGGCGAAGGTCTCTCTGGGGCTCTTGTATAGGACACTAATCTGGCCACCAAGGCAGAGCCCCCATGACCTATCACCCTCCAAAGGCTCCGCCTCCATGCCATGCGCTGTAGGTTAGGGCTCAGCATGTGAATTTGGGAGGGACACGCAGTCAGACCACAGCACCACCAAAGAAAAGTTCGTCACAGCTCTAACTATTGAAAGTTAAATGATTTAGGAGAAGAGGAGGGAATAAATACTACATTTTCATTTTTGCCTTGCCATACACGTATTTCAGTGCTGTGTATACACAGCAGTCCAAGTTTGTAATCCCTTCTGTGTCTACATAGAGTTCTGTATTTGTTTCAAGTCACTTAAATAAAATTTGTGATTTCCACAGCAACTCCAGATGCAGGAGAAGATCCCAAAGTCACAAGAGCCAAGTTCTTCATCCGGGATCTGTTTTTGGTAAGCAGTTTTGTTAACCTTTGTTTTCCTACCCCCTCGGAGTTGTATTATTCTGTCAGTTTGCAAATTACTTACCTTTTCATGATCTCATTTAATCTTCCCCAAAATTATGAGCGATAGGAAGAGGTTTGGCACCTTCGTTTTGCAGCTGAGCACACTGAAGCGCAGAGAGGCTGGATTTCTCACCCGGGTCACACAGCTTCCGAAGACCCTGGTGAGAACAAGGCCCCTGGGGAAGGGCACTTACGTGGGCTAGACTTTGTTCACTTGTTCTATTTCCCAAAAAGGACAACCGAGTATAAAACACAAGCGTTCACACTCTTCTTCCATCCAAAAGCACTAATGGGCTAAAGATTAATGTAAAAATGGACCTCAAATCCAGACATTTGCTTTTATTTTCTTTCAGCTTATTTTGAGATCATTTCAAACTTCCATGCAAAGTGAAGGAATCGTACAAGTAACTCCCATATACTCTTCACCCAAATTGGCCATTTGGTGAAGTGTCGCCACATTTGCTCTATTTATCTATCTGTGTTTTTTTCTTTCGAATAACCCACAGGGTGTAGCTGGCTATGAGTTTTTACCAGCTTGGAATCCGTAAATGCCAAGACATTCGCCAGGGCATTTAATCCATATCCCGGGACTGTTTACTTCTGGGGAAGCGGGGATCTGAGCCCGGGCAGCCCTGGATGGTCCACAGAGCGGCCTTTGCAGGGGGGTCAGACCCCCAGCCCGGCCTTGCTCTGCCCTCTTCCCACCGTGCGCGTGGAAAGTGAGGATGATAAAAAATCAAGTCCCCAGAGGGAGTTCAGAGGAACAAGAGTTCCCTGGGAAGTGAGCAGGTGGCGCTGGGAAAGCTTCTGCAGCTAAACACACCGGACGTGCTGCCAAGCGCAGCGAGGCGGTTCCTGTGCCGTCGCGGTCTCCGAGCCTTCGCTGGGCTGACGCGCACTGCTGGTCTCCAGTGACAGAATTCAGTGGCGGATCCAGGGGTCCTTTTTTCAGGAGCATCTTGTAAGGCCATAAAGTATAAGGACACATAAAAAGTGGTCCATAAAATGCTCTTCCAACGAGAACTAATCGGTAATTAGGTGAGCACATGTTGGGCATTTAGATGAGTATCAGAAAGGCATTTACACCCTCCCCAAAATTAGTGGGCACATCGCCACCATTCAGGCCTTGGACAAACCTTTTATTCTCTGACAGTGGACAAAACCTGGCTTTATGCAATTTGCAGATGGGGAAACAGAGGCGTGGGAGGTATTCACTTACATTCTGAATCGTAGAATTTGCCAGGGGCAATGAGTTCTGAGCAGGAACCTGTAACTCCAGCTGCCACAGGCAGACTGCAGAGTCGGTTCCTTATCTGGGCAGGAGCTTGTCTTGGGTTAATCAGTAACTCTGGTACCACGGGCCCCGGGGAAGAGAGGGATAAAGGTCGTCAGTGGAGAGGGAGGTGCAGGGAGGACACTGTCCTTCGAGGAGGGGACAGAGGTGAGTTTGGGCAGAGAAGGGTGAGAGCACAGGGAGGACAGGCCACCTGCTCTGTGAACATTCTTAGGTTCACGGCACAGTCCTTGGGCCACCAGGGTCTGTCCCAGACAAGGCCTCTTCCTCCCCAGCGGGCTGTGGGGGCTGGCAATGAACCATCCAGAGGCGGGAGGAACCTAGAACCGGGGAGCCAGGAGTGGGAGAGCCCAGTGGTCGGCCCCAGCGTCCCGCCAGTTACAGTGGACAGTGCTGTCCCTCCAGCCGCCTGCTCCGACACGGAGCCCTTCCTAGTGTTTGTCTCCCCGGCGCTCTGCCTGGTATTTTGTAAGCTCGCCCGACATTTCTTTTACCTTGAACGCCGTCATCTCCTAAGAGGCCTGGAGGCTGAGCAGAGAGCCTGGGACCGCCCAGTCTTCCTGGTCGAGCTTATTTCTATCGTTTTTAATGAAAATCAGTGGACAAATCAGGTACGTGGAGAGATCGAACTGTTTGAAGTTCGCGGATGGCAGGGAGCTTTGTGACGGTTCCCTGCCCCGGGTCAAGCAGTCAGATGACTACAGAAGCGGCGTGTTGTTCACTCACTCGCGCACCTGCCGCGTGTGCCCAGTCCCTCACCTGGTGCTGGAGGATTAGGAAGATCCATAACCCACTCACTTCAGTGTCTGCAAGTTTAAAAATGAAAAAGGCCCGTTCAGAAGCCCGAGGGGCTCTGTCCCGTGAGGGCGTCTTCAGTGGCCTGTCCCGGCCGCGTGGCTCCACCCAGAGGCCCGGCGCCACCAAGGCCCCACAGGCCGGGCAGCTTCTGCAACAGGTCGCTCGGTTCTGGAGGCCGGAGCCTGGCGCGGCGCGCGTGCCGGCGGGGCTGGTGCCTTCGGGGCCTCCCTGGCCTGCTGGCGCCACCTCCCCGCGTCTGCACGTGCGCCTCCCTCTGCGCGTGCCGGCGCCCCCCGGGCCTCCTCCTAGGGGTCACCGGTCAGATGGGACCAGGGCCCACCCCATGACCTCACTGTACCTCAATGACTTCCTTAAAGACCTGTCTCCAGACACAGCCACAGCCGAGGCGCTGGGTCAGGCACACCAATCTGGGGGACACAGTTGAGCTGGTAACGCCTCGCTCCACGCCTCACCCCACGCGGCATCACAGCGCCCCGCGCACCTCGCTCTCAGACGATCGTAACCGACGACGTCTAACCCCGTGTTTCCCAGAGTCAGGTGACAGCGGCACTTTTCTCCCAGACCACCTGCAAACGTTCCCCTGCTGGCCAGGGGACGCCCCTTAGCAAATGCTGACGGTCGCCTGTGTGGAGCCGGCGGCCACGTGACTGCTGCAGAACCACTGGTCACGGGGATATAAATTCAAATTAATTAAAACTAAAAGAATTAGAAACCAGTCCCCGGGTCAGCCAGTAGTAGTGGCTGCGGCGTCAACAGGGCAGATAGAGAACACTTCCATTTTTGCAGAAAACTCCGCCGCACAGCTGGGGCTCAGACCTCCATTTCTGGAAGGTCTTGCCCCGACCGCCCTGCCCAGGCCCGGCTCTGACCCGTCCGCGCCGCGCCAGCCCGCGCCAGCCTGCCGGGGACGCAGAGGAGCTGAGGTTCTCGGTGCTCGCCGGTGCTGGGCGCTCAGACGGCTCGTCCGCCCTGCGCGTGTCACCCAGGTCCCCTCCCAAGGCGAGTGGTGGCCGCGCGGGGCTAGCCACGTTCTCTCTTGCAGAGGATCAGCACGGCCACGGGCGACGGCAAACACTACTGCTACCCCCACTTCACCTGCGCCGTGGACACGGAGAACATCCGCAGGGTGTTCAACGACTGCCGCGACATCATCCAGCGGATGCACCTCAAGCAGTACGAGCTCTTGTGAGGACGCCCGCCGCTGCGCCGCCCACAGGACAGTGTCCCCGCACCGCTCGTCCGCCAGCCCCAGCCGCGGTAGGAGGTAGTGAGTGCCAGTCCGTCTTGCTGCTGTCTGTCCTGCTCCGTGTCTGCCCCGCGGGTGACCCCCAAGCCTCGGGCTACCTCTGCCCGTCCCCACCGTCAACTCCTACTCGGTGGCACTGCAGAGAAATCCCTGTGGGTCAGGGCCCTTCATTCATTCATTCATTCATTGACTCGTTAAGAACTCAGCAGGTGGGGAGAAAATGCGTTTTTCCGGGTTACCAAGCGTGCCTGCGAAAGCGTGCGCAGGGCGGTGAGCCACAGCTCTCTCCGATGCCCCTGAAGCTGCAGGCTGGCAAGTGCCTGTTCCTCCTGGTCTGCCTCGGCCCAGGACGTAGAATAGACGCCAAGCGACGTGACAGGAAGCCCTTCCCTGTCATATTTAGCGTCGCTGCCAGCCCCAGGCACTCGAATTAGAGCTCCTTCGAGCTACTTCACACTTAGGCAGAAAAACTGCCGCAAAATGTGGCCTGTCTAAAAATGGTTCTCTAAACTTCCACAGTCCCTTGGGCATAGGCTTGTTCTGTAGACTTTCTGTGCTGCTGTTTCCTTGCTGGTTTATTATACTGTACAGACCACAAAATGTAATATTCTTTTGTAAAACTACTAAAGAAAAATCCTTGTAGATCTTTGTGCCTTGATCCTGGCTATACCTGTACAAGAAATGTGTTTTTATTGTGTTGAATAGCTTAATGTCAACATTTCCTGCTGCTCACTCTGAAAAAGAGAAAAAATGGTATCCGCAGAATTTGGGATATTTTATCAGGTTGGTACTTCATAAAAGATTCCCTGGTTTAAAAAAAAAAACCTGTAAGTTATAGGCATTAACCATTCAAATCTTGCCAACAATGTCATACCAACATGGCAAGTTGCCACAGCCACCTGCTGGCACTGCTTGGAGCCTCAGCTGTCAAACCTGAACTCGGTTCAAGGTACAAATTGCAGTCTAATCGTCTTCAGGGAACCAGAGATTTTTTTCTCTGCAGACACTACTTTTTGTGATTACTGTGCTAGTTAAAGACTTCTCAGTAATTCCCTTAGTCAAAGCTTTGGGCTCAGGCTCCCTCATACAAGTAAACAAACAGCAAGAGAAAAAATGGTATCAAATGTTTGTGTTTGGCCTAGGAGAATGAGGATGGCATCTCCATCTGTATTTTGAAGAAGAAATATTACAAAACCTTTTTTTGAAATACAACATCAAAATAATGGCTCTTTCTCACACTTGCAAGATTTGCAAATGCAGCCTCGAATGTCGTGTTACACAAACGATATCTACAAAGTAAGAACTGCTGTAGCAATGACACTTCATAGACTGTCTGTAGCCACGGTTTTGGGCACAGTTTGCATAGGTCCAAATAATCTGTAAAAATGTCCAAAGTTAAGTTTTCAGCAGTACAAATCCAGAGAAATGACAGCCTGCATTACTACATTAATTCCCTTTTAGTTTTTAGTCTTTGGTATTTAAAAGTTTACTCTGTAAGTAAGCACTTTATAATCCTTTACGAACTGATCCGGATTTAAGTGCTGCTTTCTCATGAAAGGAAGGACGACAACTTTGTCCAGTCAGTGCAACAAACATCTTGTCTCATTACCGTCCTCCCGCCCCCACCAACTGCCTCAGAGAACTCCGCCGAACTGAGACATATAAACGGAAATTATTTTCAGTTCCCCTGTACTTTCAAAGTGAAACATGAAGAAAACTGAAGAGATACGCCCCCTCCCCAAAAGTGAAGTATATTGTTGTATGCATTATTACTCAGCAATTCCCCTCAAACAAAATGTCCTATTTAAAAGTTTGATTCAAAAAATGAGCCATACTCTTAGGAAAAAAACAAAAAACACATTTTATCTGGCTTAAAATTATCAAAACATTTATTTTCAAATACCAAAAGCCATATTCCCTCCATTTTTTAAGTTTCTTTTGATCATTGAATGCATTAAGTTCAGACCTAACAACGTGGTCTCCTGTAGAGAAAATTACTTATCTAAAAACCTGATTCCATTAATTTAGCACAAAAGTACAAAAGTCTAGAAAAGCACTATATTCCTGTACATTGCACCCGTACTTTTATTTTCAGGGTGTGGCGTTACACTATACAGGAATCTGAGAACCACCTCACAGGCAGACAGAAGCAAGCCCAGTGTTATGTACACACACCCCAAGTGTGTGGGGGCTGCCAGGCCCTTCCTGGGCAAGCAAGGACTGCGTCGTGCATGCAGGCGATGGCATTAATAGCATTTACATACTGTACAGATGCAACCTCTGATGATCCATATATTTGATAAAAATGAGAAAACTGATTTGTTGTAGAGTACACGTTCCATTTTTATAGCATGAGAACAGTCCAATCAACTATTTATTCTGCAGTAACTCACATCAGTGACTTAGAGTCTCCGTGAGGTCTGCACAGACAGCCTACACGTGGTCTGGTCCTCCGCTCCACTCCTCGAGCTCTGCCTGAACTTCCATGTCTTGGGCTTCGATATTTATTCCTAAGTGCAGACGTCGCCTGCTCTTCACGTCGTCCTAGGCTTTCTGAGCAGGTTCCAACCGAAAGGAAAAGGTGAGGCTAACAGCTCAAAGTGAGCAAATATGAGGACCGCAAGGAACACAGCTGCTCCGCAGTAGGTGGTCAGAACCATGTCCTCACGCGGGAGGTAGCACTTGGAGAGGGCGTGACCTGTGGCTGTTATGCTGCCCTGGAAAGGAAAGGGGACACCATGCTGCAGTGAGCACGCCAGACACGGCCTGAACTTGACGGCCCACCCTAGGAGGACAGGCCACCTTCTTGGGTTACATCGGGTGAGGTAGGGAAGTGGCCCTCCTCCCTGAGACCAAAGGGCATGGCCTTCAGCCTGCCCAAGTCACTGCTCACCAGCACAGACACTGGCAAAAGCGTGCTTGGGCAGAGCAGGTCTGGGACACTGGGCTCTGTTACAACCTGCCCCGGGCCCAGTGGGTCCCGTCAGGTGTCGGGGGGACGGGGGGAGGGCATCGTTTTTTTTTTTTTTTTTTTGAGTTTTTTTTTGAGACAGAGTCTCACTGTGTTGCCCGGGCTAGAGTGCCGTGGCGTCATCCTAGCTCACAGCAACCTCAAACTTCTGGGCTCAAGCGATCCTCCTGCCTCAGCCTCCCGAGTAGCTGGGACTACAGGCATGCGCCACCATGCCCGGCTAATTTTTTCTATATAGTTTTAGTTGTCCAATTAATTTCTTTCTATTTTTAGTAGAGACGGGGTCTCGCTCTTGCTCAGGCTAGTCTCGAACTTCTGAGCTCAAACAATCCGCCCGCCTCGGCCTCCCAGAGAGCTGGGATTACAGGCGTGAGCCACCGCGCCCGGCCTGGGGGGAGGGCATCTTGACAGATGCAGAGAGGCGCCGTGGAGATCGGGGTCACGGTCAGTGAGGCACAAAGAGTTCAAGGGTGTCCTCAAGGCACTCGATACTGAAATAAGCAATCTGCTGCCTGGAAATACATGTGTCCAGATCACCTCCATGGGCTTTTCTTCATAGACATTTTCACTATGTAGAATGACAGTGGCAAATGTTTTCATCTCTTTAAATTTTAAAACGTTAGGGTTTCCCCACCTTTTTATGAAGCAGAAGTACCTGATGGAAAAGCGGGAACCCATGGCTAAAAGGAAGGCACTAGAATGTCAAGTGGCCATTAATGAAACATCTTTAATCAACTTGAAAAAGCTGTAGCATTTTCTGCCAGGGCAAAAGGGCATGTTTGGAAAATGAGAGAAGACAGAAGAGTATAGCTAATGAATAAATGATGTTCTGTTTCCTTAGAAAATTATACACACACAGCGCACTATCAGAAGACACCGGCCTCCCTGCAGGGTAGAATCCCAGCCTGGAAGACGTTCCTCCCCCCTCACACTCAGTGCCGGAATAACGTCATGTTTGTTTGTTCCTAGAAAGGTGTTGAGAGAGGGGGCAGTGTGTAGAACTGAGTGCAAAGGGAGGGAAATTTATTTATGGCTTTTGTATATTGTTGAAGATCGCAGCAATTAAATAGTTGATTACTGTGTTGATTTAAATACTTAGGAGAGCTTTCAGACAAAAATAAACTTTCATGTTACCATGATGAAACTCGGGTTGTTTCTGTTCCTCCAGCTGAAAGATGGCACGCTGAGCTCGGGGGGGCCTCCGGCGTGCAGCACCTCGCAGCCGCTGTGCGTGTGGCCGCTCAGGACCAGGCGCGGCCGCAGCCACCACAGCAGCTGACCCGGTGGGGAGACACAAGACAGGCCGTTAGCACTGCACCCCCGTTTCAGTCAATGCCATCCTAAGTCCGGCCCTACGGCCGCTTTACTTTTCCCTTAAAAATCCCTTTAGCTTGTTTATGCAAAATCAAAGGTAAGGTCGGCCTCTCGGAGAGAATCTACTCTTCTCAGCCCAGATTTTATTTATTTTT